AATAGGAATTAATACAAAAATAGGAATTAATATAAAATAATAGGAGTTAGTATAAAAATAATAGGAGTTAATTTAAAACAATAGGAAGCAATATAAAACAATAGGGATTAATATAAAACAATAGGAGTTAATATAAAAATAATAGGAATTAATATAAAACAACAGGAATCAATATAAGAATAATAGTAATTAGTATTTTATATAATATACAATACCATAATACAGAATATGCAATACACAATTACAAAATTATGATATAAAGTAGAATATGTGATATATTATTTTATTATATATAAAGAGCAACTGGTTTGTTGTGCCAAAAACACCTTTAATGAGCAGCTTTTTTTGCCTCAGTTCCTGAATTTTGGGGTTGGTTTGCTTGGCACAGGTAATTTGGGATGGGTTCCCTCAGTTCCTCCTGGGAATATCCCTCCTTTTTCCTCACTTTTTTTTTTTTTTTTTGGTGTTTCCAGGCAGATTTTTTGAAGGGGTTACCAGTCTACAACAAAAGCAACTTCAGCAGATTCCATGCGGATTCCGTGTGTAAAGCATCCGTGAGTATTCCCAAAAATCCCAGGGATTGAAGGGGGGGGGGGGTAAAGGATGGGAAATTTAAGGGAGAAATGAATTGAAATGAGAGTGGAGGAGCTGGGCTTGGCAAGGAAAACCTCCCCTGGAATTTCCACCCGGCTCTGGGGCTTCATTTGTGAGTAAATTCCTGAATTCCAGAGCCTGTGTCCTGAAAAATGGATCAAAATGGACTGGATAGAATCACAAGTTATGCCCATTATATTATATATTATTATAGATCTATATAGAGAGAATATTATTTTGTCAGAGAATTTTATATAACACATAATTATTTATATTATGTGTTATTAGAGAACCATATAGGGAATTTTTAGTCCATTTTATGGACATTTCAGGTTTGGGTTAAAAAAAAATAATCCCCTTTTTTACTGTCTTTGCTCTAATTCTGCTACAGAACAGACGCCCATCAGTTTATCTGCCCACGAGAGAATTTCCCTCTGAACAAAGTGAGTGTCAAAATCTGATTTTTTTAAATGTCTTCACACTGGTCTGATATTAAAAAAATCACGTGTATAATCTCCTTTATTTGAAACTTAAGTGGTTTAAAGTGGTTTGAGAATTAAAATGGTTTGAGGGTTAAAATGTTTGTTTGAGGGTTAAAATGGTTTGAGAGTTAAAATGGTTGAGAGTTAAAAGGTTTGAGAGTTAAAATGTTTGCTTGAGGGTTAAAATGGTTTGAGGGTTAAAAGGTTTGAGAGTTAAAATGTTGGTTTGAGAGTTCAAATGGTTTGAGAGTTAAAAGGTTTGAGGGTTAAAAGGGTTTGAGGGTTAAAATGGTTGAGAGTTAAAATGGTTTGAGGGTTAAAATGGTTTGAGAGTTAAAA